CCTACCGGGAAGAAGGAAGAGAGGAAGGACCGAAGAGAAAGTTCATGGGTGCAATCAAGGTAAACATGCAGTCAGTGGATCAGGAAGATCCGCTAAGGGGAGAAGCCGGAAGAGGAAGGAGAATGACATGATCCAGGTCATGTCGTATCAGCCAGTTTGTTTATCCGTGCCATACCAACGACGCGGGTAAACGAAAGGGCATCATTTGGTTAAGAGTCACTTTTAAAGATATCTCCAGTTCCTCCAACAGATTTGGCCAAAATTTTTAAATCACAAGAACTCGAAAGAAAAGAAAGTTGAAATAACATGCATGTGTTGCAGCTTTGTCATCCGTTATCTTTGCTTTTATATTATAGTTCGTGTTTATTTTTCACACCTTTGTGTTTTTATATAAGTCTATCAAACATTGTTTTACCATTTTTTATTATTATTATCACTCCTATCTATATGGAACACTGTGGCGTAATTTCAGTGTTTTTTTTTTGTTAGTCACCTATTTGGCCTTATAAATATCAATAAATGTTTTTAACTGATACCCTTTATACTGCTGTTCTGTTCTCTCTCTCTCTCTCTCTCTCTCTCTCTCTCTCTCTCTCTCTCTCTCTCTCTCTCTCTCTCTCTCTCTCTCTCTCTCTCTCTCTCTCTCTCTCTCTCTCTCTCTCTCTCTCTCTCTCTCTCTCTCTCTCTCTCTCTCTCTCTCTCTCTCCACATACACGTACATATGTACACGCATACATACGTGTGTGTGTGTGTGTGTGTGTGTGTGTGTGTGTGTGTGTGTGTGTGTGTGTGTGTGAGTGTGTGTGTATCTAAGAGTGTGCGTACGTGCGTGCGTGCGTAAACTAATGACGCCGCTGTTTTTTTTTTTAACGTAGGATTTTAGATTAAAACATTCTCTGTATTATAAATATTCTTTATTATTTTGTTCCTATAAGATAGCCTGCATAACAATCATAATATAAACGAACACACTTATATAAGTATATACAACTTTAATTCAGATTTATATGAAACGAAAATCAATCTCTATCTTCGTTTCTCTTCTTCCTTTTCTTCTTCTTCTTTGCCTTCTTTATTCTTTCGTTTTTCTTGATATTCACAGATCTTCCAACCCTTCTGAAAATATAAGGGTAGTTTCTTTTTTTTCTCGTAAGGGTTCAGAGTTACTGGATCTGCATTGTGTGTGTGTGTGTGTGTGTGTGTGTGTGTGTGTGTGTGTGTGTGTGTGTGTGTGTGTGTGTGTGTGTGTGTGTGTGTGTGTGTGTGTGTGTTTGTTTGTGTGTGTGATGGTCTGTAGGTATGTATGTATGTATATGCATGTATGTATATGTATGTATGTATATGTAAGTATGTATATGTATGTATGTATATATGTATGTGTGTATGTATGTGAGGGTGTATGTATGTATGTATGTATGTATGTATGTATGTATGTATGTATGTATGTATGTATGTATGTATGTATGTATGTATGCATGCATGTATGCATGTATGTATTATGTGTATGTGCATGTATATGTATACATACATACATACATACATACATACATGCATACATATATATATATATGAATGTATATATCAAATGTATGTAAACCAATTTTCCGCTTTTAATTTTGTACTCATGGGAATGGTTATACACTGATAACGCAAAACTTTTCACAGTTGACAAAATGTGTAAAGCAGCTGCCGGGATAAACAGGCACGAAAAAACATGACTGAATTGCAAAATAACAGCATCAGATGAAAATGTCGAATCATCTCCACACCTTTACGTTATTTTCTCTCTCCTTCCGATATATGTCTTTTATGTCTGAAGGTGAATAAAGAATACAAATCTGCATACACTTGGTATACAGGTTCGGACGCTAATATACATATTTGAGCATCATATGTCACTGTGTATATAACTAATACCATAGACAGTATATACCAAGACATGCAAGAACAAGATTGCCAGTGGATATTTCCCAGTGATATTCCTTTCAACCTGCGAATTAAAGCAAAAATATATCTTGGTCAACATATGGTATCAGTGCAATTAGGGTTTTTTTTTATACATCGTTATGGATACTTGAGTAGAAGAAAGAGAAAGAGAAAGAGAGAGAGAGAAAGAGAAAGAGAGAGAGAGGGAGAGAAAGAGAGAGAGGAGAGGAGAGAAGAGAGAGAGAGAGAGAGAGAGAGAGAGAGAGAGAGAGAGAGAGAGAGGAGAGAGAGAGAGAGAGAGAGAGAGAGAGAGAGAGAGAGAGAATGAGAGAGAGAGTGAGGAAATACAATGAGAAAATAATCCAAAGGCGCATAAGCGTTTGCCATAACCTGTTCTCGTTCACCATTCCTATTTTCAACGGCAAGAGCTTCGCCTCCACCTGCCTCCGCATGCAATCCTCCCAACTGTTTATTTTTTAAGGGCGGCAGTATTCTACCGTGCCCAGTAGCAGTGCATATTTCCCTCCTCAGCGACGCCTCTGGTCCGGGAACCGAGCACTCCTAATGGGAACGGTAGGAAACTACAGCCCGGAACTTTCAAGGGGAAAAGAAACCTTTCTTTTTGACCGTGAAAGTGATGAGCGGAGACCCCTGACTGATTTCCACTGAGTAGTTCACTTTTCGCAACGACTTCTCCAGCACAGCCTGGACTTCGGGATACAAACCGAAGAACTTGAGCTCGAACTTGGTCGTCGTGTTCCAGTGGTCGTGGAAGCAAGTGCCGAGGCGCTGTGCCGTGTCGCGATCGAACTCCATCTTATCGATTCGGTACTTGCAGAGCGAGAGTTCAGAGAGGCGAGGCAGATGGTGCACCAGGTTGTGCAGGAAGGTCATTCGGCAGGGCAAGGGGGACAAGCCCGACCTCACTTCGCTGGCCTCGTCAAGGTTAAGTTTCTTTAATTCGGTGCAAGATCGCACGTGCTGACCGACAGCCTTGCACGTCTCCTCGTAGTGTTCGAACTTGAACTCCCAGCTTCCGAGGGACAACTCCTGCAGCTTTTTGAAATAGGTTCCCAAGAGCTGGAAGAACTTGCATGTGGTCTTATCGTCGAGGGATGTGGCGTTAGCCTGAGACACTGACAAGTCAAGATGAGTTAAACTGTAAAGAAAAAAAATATACAATTACCTAATGAGCAAACTACATATTAAAAAACATAATACACAGACATTAACAATCCGAACTACACCACCCTTATCATACCCCAAACAAAGAGAGCAAAATCCAAGAACTTACTTCGGACAGCTCCTCAGAACAGGCAACAGGAGGTGCCCACTCCGAAGAAAGCCCAGGGGCTCCATCAGCTTGACATTAGCGAGTCTCAGCATATTGATACTGGACCAGCTTTGCGAAGGACCCATCGTGGGAATGAGAATGGGCGGGGGGAGGAAGGCAGGCTGGAGGGACTGGCCGATGTCGATGGAACAGTGGTCGAGGTTAAGGTCCTGTACCTTCCACGAGCTGAGCAGGTCCATGAAGTACCGCGCAGCCTGGGCTTTGTCCTAAAGAAAAGGGGAACGTTGAGAAGTTTGTTTTTACTACTATGTTCTCGTAAGAGGTGAAAAAGGGGGAGAAGGACGAAGAAAGAGAAAGAGCGAGAACAGAATGAAAGAAATGAAAAGGATCTGGGGAACGGCACGAGAGAGAGAGAGAGAGAGAGAGAGAGAGAGAGAGAGAGAGAGAGAGAGAGAGAGAGAGAGAGAGAGAGAGAGAGAGAGAGAGAGAGAGTGAGAGACTGAGATACCATTCTAGTCGCAATGATAAAATTAAAATACGTCTTTAAAATCATTTACACTTATTGAATCCGCACGTATTAATAACGTATTCCTAAAAGATTCTCGAGGTAAGAGATTAGTTTATGGGGAAAAAAACATACATAGGCTAAATAGCAAATGTATATATAAAATATACACAAACACAGAAACACATGAGAGAAAAAAATCAGAGACCAAAGATTTTTTTAAACAACACCCCCCCCCCCCAAAAAAAAAAAAAAAAAAAAAAAAAAAAACACAGAACACACAAGAATCCACCTCACTAACCTTCGCCCTCACACTCCTAACACACACACAACTCACCTGTATAGTAAAGGACCAGCGTGCTAAGGAGAGTGTCTTAAGTGTGGTGTTGTTCCTCAGCGCCGTGCAAGCCAAGAAGAACGCGGTATCGGACAGGACGACGTGGCGGGAGTCGAGCTTCACTGTGGTAAGCGAGGGAGACTGACCCAAGCCGAGCAGGACGGGCATGTAGCACTCGACCTACGGGATAATGACAATGGTAATGGTGGCGGTTGTGAGGGTGTTGTTGATGATGATGATATTGTTGTTGGTGATGAGGGTGAGGGTGAGGATGAGGATGAGGATGAAGATGAGGATGAGGGTGAGGGTGAGGGTGAGGGTGAGGGTGAGGGTGAGGGTGAGGGTGAGGGTGAGGGTGAGGGTGAGGGTGAGGGTGGTGGTGGTGGTGGTGAGGGTGTTGATGATGATGTTGTTGTTGTTGGTGGTGGTGGTGGAGGTGATGACGATGATAGTGATAGTTATGTGTTTTTTTTCCACCATAGAATCAACACGGTAGAGTGTTTTACCATCCAACAAGGATACATAATAATATCATTCCCAATCTGACCTTATAAACCCTTAGATAATATCAATCCCAATCTGACCTTATAAACCCTTAGATAATATCAATCCCAATCTGACCTTATAAACCCTTAGATAATATCAATCCCAATCTGACCTTATAAACCCTTAGATAATATCAATCCCAATCTGACCTTATAAACCCTTAGATAATATCAATCCCAATCTGACCTTATAAACCCTTAGATAATATCAATCCCAATCTGACCTTATAAACCCTTAGATAATATCAATCCCAATCTGACCTTAAATAACCTCCAGAGAGTGTTTTACCATGCAACAAGGACACACGATAAAATGAATCTCAATCTGACCTTATAAACCCTTAGATAATATCAATCCCAATCTGACCTTATAAACCCTTAGATAATATCAATCCCAATCTGACCTTAAATAACCTCCAGAGAGTGTTTTACCATCCAACAAGGATACATAATAATATCATTCCCAATCTGACCTTATAAACCCTTAGATAATATCAATCCCAATCTGACCTTAAATAACCTCCAGAGAGTGTTTTACCATGCAACAAGGACACACGATAAAATGAATCTCAATCTGACCTTATATAACCCTTGGAGATTGAGACTGCTCAAGTGCTTCGTCTTCCTGATGGCATCTCCGAGACACACGAGGTCAGCTTTTGTGAGGTAGAGACAGGGGTCAGCCAGGGTCAACTTCTGCACGCTGGTTTCCGGAAGGGCCGAGAAGAGGTCATGGAATATAGACTGGTGACCTCGTCCCATGCACAGCGGGAGGGGAAGCCTGACATCTTGGTCTGAAATGCAAATTACGATTATGGAAGCAGGTGGAAATTACGAATATTCAGATGAATGGAAAATACGATGATAAAGATGAATAAAAAATACGATGATAAAGATGAATAAAAAATACGATGATAAAGATGAATAAAAAATACGATGATAAAGATGAATAAAAAATACGATGATAAAGATGAATAAAAAATACGATGATAAAGATGAATAAAAAAAAAACTGATTAAAACGACTGAATGATTAAAAAATGATTAAAACGACTGAAAATTACGATTATCAGAATGAATTAAATTATCTATCAAAACGTATGGGAAATATGACTGAAATTCAATGAAAACTATGGTCATGAAAATGAATGGAAAAATACGAAGAAATGTAATTTAGAAAAAAAAAATATTGAAGTTGTAGAATAATCTTTATGACAAGAAATATCTTTACTATTTTTTCTGTTAGATTATTATTATCATTATCAATAATAATAATAATGATAATAATAATAATAATAATAATAATAATAATAATAATAATAATAATAATAATAATAATAATAATAATAATAATAACAATAATAATAACAATAATAATAATACACTGTAGAGGCGTAGCAGTGCGTTGAAAATGAAATGAAACATTGCTACAAAAAGACAGGAAACTAAAACAACGGAAAAAAATATTGCAGTAATATCAGAAGGGATAAAATACTTGATAACTATAATGAACTTATTCGGTCTCTCTGTCTGAAGGGGAATCCAGTTATAACAGAAGCATTGTGGATATGTCTTTCTTCCTTACTATAGCAATCCATTCATTATATATACACAATGCAATTTTACTATTACAGATATAGTAAAAAGTTAAAACACATTTGGAATTATATTCAGACTAAGCAGTGTAAAAAAAAACGTATGTGAGCCTATTTCGAACCTTTGTCTTAGTGTTTGTAAGTAATTATCTTTCAACTTGCCCTCACCAATTAAAGTCCTTCGTGCCCATTAACTCTTTTTAGGAATCAATAAACAGACTTTTCCTAGTTTAATTCATTCCCTATCCAACCAACAAATGTCGTTTTACTTGATCTCCTGTCAAATCAGACGTTTTATTCTAGTTTCCTTACTAACCAATCGATAGGCGTCTTCTATTTCAAACTCTTCCCTAACTAATCAACAGAGATTTTTTAAACTGACCAATCACAGTACTCCTTTTCATCAAATATCTTCCCCAGCCAACCAGAAGACGCCTTTTAACCCAACCCTCTCCAACAACCAATCAGCAGGCGCCTTTCAACTTACCCCTGACGAAACAGAATCCCTTAGCTCCGTGGATGAACTTGACGCCCGTCTTGAGAGGATCGTGAAACAGGTAACTCAGTTCTTTGGTTGGGTCCGGAAGAGTACATCCCTCTTGACTTTCCTGGGCCTGAGGAGAAAGGGGAATAGATTAAACAGATGCAAAGTGACGGCAATGAATGGGTATAAACACGACATCAAATTAGATACAGCATGTTGATATGAAATTGATTAATAATTAAATAAGAAGAAGACGCGTTAAGTAGAAAATTATTATGATCAATTACATTATACTATATAACTTAGTGACAAAGTTTACTTTTTCAATAATAAATATATCAGAAGATAGTTCATATAACTTTTACAGTGGGTTAATGATAACTACATAAGACAAGAATAAGTTTTTAACAATAACAAATACTTATTACATTTTCACCTTAACCAAAGTCACACAAAAACATACAAAAACAGACTTACTTTAAACACACACACAAAAAAAATAATAATAATAAAAAATAAAACACTTCCGAAACATAAAAAAATAAAATGAAATCACACACAAAGACACACTAGAAAAAAAGGAAAAAAATTAACAAAGAAAAAAACACCTCTCTCTCAAAAAAAAAAAAAAAAAAAACACACACACAAAATCATATCAGAAAAAAAACAAGACTTACAGTTTGATTAAACGCATCCTGGCTCTTCCTGTTCGCATACGTGGACATGCGGATCAACTCCATCTTCATGTGCGTCGGCGTGTAATCTCTGCTCATGAAGACGCTCGTGTCGTGTTGCAGCTGAGCTCTGTTCATGGACACTGCAATGAGGATGTAGTAAGTTAGTTATTTTCGGGGGGGGGGGGTTACTGATGATGATATCCTTTAGTCTTTTTATAAAAAAATATTTGTATGTATGTATGTATATGTGTGTGTGTATGTTTGTATTTTTTTTTTTTTTTTTTTTTTTTTTTTTTGTGTGTGTGTGTGTGTGTGTGTGTGTGTGTGTGTGTGTGTGTGTGTGTGTGTGTGTGTGTGTGTACCTACCTATTCAGACATAAAGATAATCATAATACTTAAGAGACAGATAATACATCCATAACATCCATACAGACAAACGGACAGACCGAAACACGCACACACACACACACACAAACAAAAACAAAAACAAAACAAAAACAAAAAAGCAAAAACAAAAAACAAAACAAAAACAAAAAAAAGCCAAAAAAAAAACAATCACATCCATCCACCGCCAATACTTACAGTGCAGCTTATGTAGATTTTTATTTTTCTTCAGCAACTCCACCAGACTCTTGAAGCCCTGACGCCCGTGGACGAGGCCGGTGAGCTGCAGTTCCTTGAGTTTGGGAGAGTCGTTCCTCAGGCGGTCGCACAGGTTGTGGAGGGCGTCGTCGTCGAGGAACATGTCCAGCCGTAGCACCTCCAGGGCTTCGAGGGCCTTCTGTGGGAGGGGGAGGGTGGGAGGGGGGGGTGTAGTGTTAGTATTTTTATTCTTTCTATTTTTAGTTTTTCTTATTTTTCGTCATTTCTTTATTAATATTATTATTATTATTATTATTATTATTATTATTATTATTATTATTACCATTATTATTATTATTATTATTATTATTATTATCAATATTATTATTATTATCATTATTATTATTTATTTTTATTTTTATTTATTTTTCGAAATAGGAGAGACCGAAAAGAGGGGGGGTCAGGAGAAGGAGAGAGGGAGAGAGGGCAGGAGGGAGAGAGAGATAGAGACTTAGACAGAGACAGAGGCAGAGACAGAGACAGAGACAGAGACAGAGACACAGAGAGACAGAGACAGAGACAGAGACAGAGACAGAGACAGAGACAAAGACAAAGACAGGGAGACAGATATAGAGACAGAGACAGAGACAGAGACAGAGAGACAGAGACAGACACAGACGGAAGCAGAACGAACGAGAGTCGGAGAGCGACGCCTTCCAGGTTCTTACCCTCCCCGAGTTGCAGGTTGCCTCCGCGACCGCTTGCACAAGACTAGACGAGACCTTCCCATTGAGAACATTCATATTCAGCTCCTTTATCTCGAGCTCTTTCAGGTTCTCCTTCTCGAGCGCTTCCTTGAAGTGTGAGAAGAAAAGTTTGATCTTTGTCTCGGAGAAAGGCTCGCCGTCCTGCGTGGCCCGAACCCTGATCATGGAGATACTCTTGTTCCTCCGGAGAGCGCTGAAGAACTGCCGGTAGAGCTCCGGGCTTGCCTCGTTGAAGGAGCTCTCCTGGTCCGGGTTGTTGCTCTTGATGCGCCACACCAGCTCGAGGTTCTTGAGCATGTGGAACTTCTGGTCGAGGATGGAGCTCCAGCCCTCGAAGTCGACCTCGCTGGTGTAGACGCGGTGGTAGTCGCGGTCGAGCAGCCTGGCGACCGCGCGGCAGTTGTCCGGCGTCGTCCCGGCTTCTCGGAGGAGCATCAGGATCTCCTGGTCCTTCATGTGTCGGAAATCCTGCTGCCGTTTGCCCTCCAGCGCCAGGTGGGCTCGCTTCCCGAGGACCCCGACCATGAACTTGAGGACGTGCTCATGGCGGTAGATGGTCGTGAAATCCTTGTGTTCTCGTCGGTCCCGCTCGATAGTGTCGGCCATGTACAGGCCGGCGAGATATTCCAAGAATATCTTATGAACGGGTTTGTAGAACTTTTTGCGTCCGTACACATGGTTCTCACTGTCACTCGACAAAAATCCTAGAGGCACCAAGAGAGAATAGTTTTCTATTTGCTTCTCACTGAAGCGCGTCTTGTCCGTCTTGAGCGCCTCCATGCACAGTTTGCCAAAACTAAGAAACTTCTCCTGGTACTCGGGCGGAAACGCCTCGATGTTCCCGTCGGCCGAGCCCGCGTTCGCGTCGGTCGCGCCCTTGTTGTTGTTCCACTTGATGAGGCACAGCATGATCTTGAACATCATGTCGGACAGCTTCTCGGGCAGCTTGGCGACGCTCCTCTCCGAGTCGTAGAGCATGCAGAGCAGCACGCAGAACAAGGGCCTCTTGGCCAGCTTCCGGTACTTGTAATCGCGCTCGATAATCTGCTTCAGCATCCGGCCGCATTCCTCCTCGTTCGAGAGCCGGAAGTACTTGCCGATGAACTCCATCATCTGCTCCTCGCTGAAGCCCTTGACGATCGTCCGCTGGAAGATGGTCTTGAGGACGTCCGGACGCGAAGTCACGACCACCTTGCTCTTCTGGAAGTCGCGGTACCGAAGCAGGTTCTGAATCTCGCCCTCGTCGTTCTTGTTGAGCTCGTCGTAGCCGTCCAGGATGAACAGAATCT